AGAGTTTTGATGTGCTTTGAAGATATGGGATCAAAAAGAAGGACTTCTGTCTGTTCACAAGCAACAGTTAGCACTGACCTGGAAAGGAAAGAAACAAGAAACAGGCTATTATGCCCAAAGAAACTCAACACCCTCTCAATGACATCTGGTAAAGAACAGAAAGCTTTCCTTATTTAAAGGGCACACAAACACAGAGCTGAGACGTGAATAATAGTTCCAAAGGCAGAGGCGTTCCATGGAGTAGCTTGCAGAATTTCTACGCACTGGATTTTTTAATTAGAACCACATTTATTTTCTCTCATTTGCTGCAATGTAGTGGATCGTGAATCAATTAATTAAATGCCACCAATTGATCACATGTTATATGACCACAATCAAATGATCCCTGAAACCAGAAGGCAAAGGGATCTGCTCCTCTCACTATCCAACCCAACCATATGTTTAATCAGAGTGTATTATACCACTTAAACTGTCACAGCAAGAATTCTGGGAACTTTGGCTTGTTAAGGGTGCTGGGAATTGTAGGCCTGTCACCAACTACACTTCCCAGAATTCTTTGGGGAAAGCATGACTGTTAAAGTCGTATAACAGTATGGCGTGCATGTTATTTTGCTCTTGCCTACCCCAAAAGGCCACTCCTATTTGATCAAACTTCAGTGTCCAATTCTCCTCCCCCAATTAGGTATGTGCAACAAAACTCTTAGGTGTGATGTCATTATGTGCATTAAGTAAAACCAAGATGAATACCACTCAGTTGCTTCTTCCATAAAACTCAGAAAGCACACTTCCAATGCCAATTGACTCACTAGTTGCTACGTCAATGGGCTAAGCATTAGGACCACCATTTACCAAGCATCACTGGGGGCGAGGGGTGCAGAATGAAAGAAAAGAGGGGACAGAGAGAGAAGACTCTCGTCACCGTTATCTCAAGCACCCAAATTACCGTATTTTTCGCCCCATAGGGCGCACCAGCCCATAGGGCGCACCTAGTTTTTTTTTGGGGGGGGAATAAAGAAAAAAAAATATCCCCCCCCCCAGGCGCGACTTCGCGCAGCTCTCCCACGGCTTGCGGATAGCTTCCTGAAGCCTGGAGAGCAAGAGGGGTCAGTGCGAACCGACCCCTCTCGCTCTCCAGGCTTCCGCGAAAGCCTGCATTCGCCCCATAGGACGCACACACATTTCCCCTTCATTTTTGGAGGGGAAAAACTGCGTCCTATAGGGCGAAAAATACGGTACTTTTCCTGTGAGTAAATGACTGGGATGGAAGGGGAAAGACTTCTCCACTCCTGGTGTAGACAATTCCAGGCTACACAGACAATGGTCTGAATTGTTATCCGGCAGCTTCCTATATTCCTGCTACTAGAAAATGCACAATAAGTACTGAAGCTTAGACTGGGAAGAAATGCACTTATGGACAACAGTTATTGATAAACTGTAGGCATCAGAGATATGTCATGTGTTTCCAGGGATGCCAAACAGATGGGGTGAAAGCGCAGAAAACCTTGTTGAAAGTCAGGGACAAGTTCATAGAATCACAGAATTGTGAAGTTGGGACCCTAAGGGTCATCTAGACCAACCTGCTGCAATGCAGGAATCTCAACATGCAGTGCCCCCCCATCCAATTTGAAACCATACCAGACCCTGCTTATTTGCAAATGTGCTAGCTGTTTTATTGCTGCGCCACTATCTCTAGTTGATGTAAGACTGAAATGAAGGTGGATTTACAAATTAGGTTTAGGTTATTTTAAAAACATCTGTATGTGCCATACGAATGCACACCAACAGTTTTAAAAGTGGCATCAACCCTCATGTAGTTTATGAATACTGTGTTCTTACATTCATGTTGGAATACACTGCAAAAGTCTTGGGGGCCAATTACTCGACTGTAGAATTCCTCAACACTTTCACAAACAGTCACAGGGGGCAGAAAGATCCGAAATCACATTGCAATGCAATACAGTATTACAGAAGATTAAGATATGGGGACGAAAGTCAGTAAGCATGTGCAGGGCACACTTCTATGCTTCAAATTTCAATACCAGCTGCTAGACCCATACTTCAGGTTTTTGGGTGGGTGGGTGTATTTATGTATGTATGTGGGTGGGTGGGTGTGTCAGAGACAATATAAAGAAGCGAAACATAATGTAGCTCACTATCTAAATAGATCCCTTTTGAACACTGCAATACTCTGTCCAGTTCTGGACACCGCAATTTAAGGATATTGACGAGCTGGTGTGTATGCAGAGGAGGGCGACCAAGATGATCAAGGGTCTGGAAACCAAGCCTTAAGAGGAGCAGTTGGGAGTTGGGTATTTTTAGCCTGGAAAAGAGGAGAGATGATAGCCATCTTCAAATATCACAAGGGCTGCGACATGGAGGATGGAGCAAGCTTGTTTTCTCCTGCTCTGGAGGGTAGGACTTGAACCGAATAACTTCAAGTTATAAGAAAGGAGATTCTGACTAAACATATGGGAAAACTTTCTGACATTTACAAATTCCTCTGTAAATGTAAAATGTACAGATTCCTCTGTAAAATGTACATATTCCTCTGTATAATGATTTTATTGCATTAGCCATGCGGCCATAGCATAATATACATAGAAATAACAACATAAAATGGGGGTGGGGAGATAAAAGTGTATGCCGTTCTGGGCGAATACTTTGAGAAAATGGGGATAACAAAGGTAACGGGAGATTCCTCTGTAAATGTGGATGTGGATGGTTGTACTGTTATAATTAAATACTTGTAAAATCAAATAAAATCCATTTCAGGAAGAAAAAAGAAAACTTTCTGAGAGGAAGAGCTGTTCGACAGCGGACCGGGCTCCCTCGGAAGCTGAAGGACTCTCCTTCCTTGGGGTTTTTTTTAAAGCAGAGGTTGGGTGGCCCCCTGCCCTGTGCGACCCACCCGAGCTTTCTGCCTCGCCGAGGGGGTGGGTCTAGATGACCCTCGGGTCCCTTTCCAAGATTTTACGATTCTCGGAAGGCGAGCTTCCCCCACCGACGGTCACCTTCCTTACCCGCCAGGGGAGTACTCCAGGTTGAAGACGGCGCCGTGCGTGCGGGTGATGGGCGACACCGAGTCGGCGGGCTGGATGGCGCCGTAGAGCCCCGTCATAGCGCGGAACGTGTCCCTCGCCGGCTCCACGCAGCGGCCGCCATGGCCCAGGCGCCGCCCGCGCACCCAGGCGAACAGGCCCCCGCCGGGCACCGAAACGGCGGCCGCCACCGCTGCTGCTGAGGAGGCTGCTGCCGCTGAGGCGGCGGCGGCGTCCGGGGGCGGCGGTTCCCGGGGGGGCGACGGAGGCGGCGGCGGCGTCTGGTCCCCCTCGCCGCGAGGCGGCCGCTCCGGCGCCGGGCCCCAGCGCGCCTTCCAGCTCATCCCGAGCCCGGCCCCGCCGCCACCGGCAGCGGCATTCCTCTCTCTCCCCCTCACACACCCTTCGGCCTCCTCCGCCTCCTTCCCCGCCCGACTTCCGGTGCGGGGAGCAGCCTTCGAAAAGGCGCCGGCCGGAAACACGGACCCGGCTCCGAAGGGCCGCCGGGATTCCTTTCCCCCAGAGGGGAGGTTCGCTGGCGCGCCCTGCTTTTAAAGCCTCGCCCCTTATGAAGGCCACGCCTCCTCCTTTGTGGGTCGCCCCGCCCCCTATGATTTCTGCCCCCACCCCCAAGCAAGCTGGGGGGGCGGGAGCGGGGGAATAAAAAATAAATTGTTACGGAAATTAACGGGGGGGGCACATATTATTATTATTATATTTTTTAAAATTATTATTATTATCTTTAAAGTTGTTAAATGATACAAATATTATGCCTGAATGTATCCTTTCAAATTGACAGCTCATGGAAGTTACCTAGCTTTAAAAATAAAATAAAATCAACTCCTTTGCCAGTTTCCTCCATTCCAAAGCTATTTTCCCCTTGGAAAAGGACTCCAGGAAGTTCCCAGAGGTGACAATTGCTGGGCTCATTGTTAGCCAAGGGAAGCCAAATCTCATCACCCGACTCGCCTCAGGCTCCAGACACGCAAAGGAACTTCCATTGTACTTTTGGGTGGTGGGCACTTAAGACAAATTTGTCTATGCTAATCTTATACCTGAGTCTTGCCCTGCCATGTCTGCTTATGCTAATCTTGTACCAAGCACTTGTCTGGACATGTTTGCCAAGGTTAAACAAGTGTAACCCCTGTCTACCCCTCCCCTTTTGTGACATGTCAGTGATGCTGTAGGAACTGTATTCTGGGATATGGTGGGAAAATTTTAAAAGTCTTTGTCACCCCATCCTGGGGGTTCAAATTTGCAGTTTGAACCTACTGTGCAATAAGCTTTGGTCTACAGCTATTTGCTCCGGTTGGCTGGAATCCTTCCTTTATTCCACAGGGACCCGCGGGCTCTGCCCGACCAGCTGGGGGACTGAGCAGCCTCACACCTAGATTTTTCCGTAACAAAATGTTTGTGGGGGAACATTTGTAATTTACCTAGGAGACCCCTGTAAGCAGGTGGAAACATTAGCAGGATGGCAATACCACTTGTAATGTAGTAATTATTATTATGGACAAAATGGAGAGGCATAAAATACGGATTGCTAAATAATACGGATATGCAGTTGAAAAGGTTGACAATAGGTCCCATGGAGGGGAAGGTGGGATTCAGAGAAATCTCTAAATATGGATATGCATTTTGCATTGTTAGAATTGTAAAATCAAATAAAAATTATTTCCAAAAAAAAATGTCGGTAACTTGGGGAGGAGTGATCTTGCACTGTTGAGATTGCCGTGTTCCTTCATTCCATCAGATTTATCTGAATTTTTAAAAATAAACCATGTGTTTTTGTGTGTATTCTCACTGAGTAGCAGATCCATCTGAAGTGTAATTTCAGCACTTATTAGAATGATTTCAAATTGCCAGCTGGCTGCTAAGATAGTACACACAGCCATTGCTGCCAGAGTAAATAGAGGAGTAAACTGTTTTCAGGGATTTAGAAAGCATACTAGTACCATTATACTTGACCATTTTTATCTTACTTATTTACCAGTCTGAAATGGAATCCAATGATCAAAGTACATCATTAAACCTGCAGAGATTTACTTTCTTGGTTATTTATTTAGCTTTATATTTTCACTGGCTTCCTAGCATACCAGGGTTAAATATTGACTTCCTGGAAGACACAGGATGATGAAATGAGAGGCTCCGTAATTACTCTTCGTAGGCTCACCCTATTAATTTTAACAGATAACTTGGGAAACCTTTCACATCTTTATGATTTGAGTTTGAGATGGAGCAGATGGAAATGTTCCTAAGAAGATATATAGGGGTATAGTTTATATATAGTACTTGTAAAGGGCTATCCTCTTCAGCAGGGCTTTTTTTCGGGGGGGGGGGGGGGCTTACCTGAACTCAGTTCCAGCACCTCTTAAGTGGGTGCCATTATAAGAGAACAAGGGAGGCATTCATGGTGAGTTCCAGCACCTCTTTTTCTAGAAAAATAGCACTTCAGGACTATTGTGCAATAGAAAGTACATTTCCCTTCTCATTGGATTCTTTGACTGCCATTTTTAACTTGTACCCGCCACTTACTAATTAGTGAACTTTGGCCCTAGCATCTGGAGTCCAATTTCCTTCCAAAGATTTGGATGCTATTTGGTCTTCTCTTTCTCTCTCAGTGTCCTTCCCATGGTGTAGTATTCTGGGTTTGGCTGCATATCTGTGAACTGAGCTATGCGATTTGCCATGGCAAAAAAGGCTGAAATGGCGCCTATGTCCCAGGCATCTTCTCGGTCAAACCCGTGTGCCTCCAGCTTCTGAAAGTGTTCTTTGGTGATGGTATCTGCTCGACAGACAGCGAGTGCAAACTCGAGCATGGCTACCTCGCGATCACTTAGGTCAGCCATTTTCCAGTTCACCATGATCTGCACAGAAACAAACCAGCAGGAAATCATCAAGACAGCTGCTGGGGTACGTAATGGCCAAGTGTGGGACATAAAGGACATACTGTATATACAGGCAGCATCCCACCAGTGACAAACAGACCGAGGGCTGAAAAGAAGGATTAGGGAGTGACATTGAATATGAACTGCAATGCATCACTGCAAAGAAGTAAAGTGCTCCCCCAATCTTTGCTCTTGTTTTGGGTTGTTGGCATTCAGCTGTCTAAAGAACTAAAGAAACAATGGAGTGCGCCTCCGGAGGTGAAGTCAAACCACTAAGTTAGCAGCAGTGATTTGACCTCCCTAGGACGCAAACCTGGGCAGTGTGTATGGAGGTCCAGGGATGCTCAGACAACCAGACCCACCATCTCAGCCTCACTGATGTGGTCCAAAAGAAAGCAGAGCAACATGATTACAACCAGCTTGGCTGTACAGAAAAGGGAATATTGCCAAGTGCAACTCCTCAGCTTTGTGGCATGAGAATTAGCACCTAGCAAACTGCCCTTTTCCATACAATTCTTAGCCTTGGGCAAGGGCCTTTTTAAACACTGCAGCATAAGGCTTTTAAATGCACTTATCTAGTTATAAAGTACCCAGCATCTTGCAATGTTATAGTCTTCCCCAACCTGCTGCTTTTAGATGGACTCCAATTTCCATCTGCTGCAGCCAGTTCGGTCAATGATCAGGAATGATAGAAGTTCCACTACAAAACATCTGGAGGCCACCAGGTTAGTGAAAGCTAATATAAACTAATCATAGGTTTGTATAAATTTGAAGATAATAAATTATAATCCCATAATTTTTGTTCAGTAATCTTTCAAAGTTTCTTTTAAATTGCTATACAGTGGTACCTCGGTTTACGAATAGTCCTGTTTACGAACTATTTGGTTTACGAACTCCACAAAACTGGAAGTAGTGTCCCGATTTGTGAACTTTACCTCGGTCTATGAACAGATGCTGAACAGTGGAAGGGCACCGGCAGCGGGAGGCCTCATTAGGGAAAGTGCACCTTGGTTTAAGAATGGATTTGGTTTAAGAACGGATTTGGTTTAAGAATGGACTAAGTTCGTAAACGGAGGTACCACTGTATATGCTAATTTACAATCATATTTCCAGTGCACTGCACAAAAAGGAAAAAACCTACTATAAAGATTTCACCAGAATAATTTGCATAAACTAGCATTCAAATTCAGACTCAAATCCCCTTCATGCAATTCATTCATCTCTCTCTCTCTTTCTTGCAAGCTGTACGTAGAGTCCAGATTTTTGCCTGAACCTGGAACAAGCGCAGAAGCAAGGTCGCAAGTGGAAGCTTGCTAGTTAAAACAGCACAGAAGTGAAGCGCGCACATACAGTGGCATAGCGTGGGTTGTCAGCACCCGGGGCAAGGCAAGTAATTTGCGCCCCCTAACCTGTGGATTTGCACCCCCTAACCCTAACCCCAGATGTTGCGCCCGGTGCGGCCGCCCCCCTACACCCCCCACGCTACACCACTGTGCACATACACACTAAGACTAGCAAATACGGGTTCTCGCCTGATCTGCCAGCACTGGTTTCTTAGAGTACATCCGATGTAAGGCACTGTGTGCAATTGCACAGTAGGGGACCTTGTTTGCAACACTCGTAGCCACGATAATGAGCTCTTTGTCAGCCATGCTAAGGTTTCCTGTGGGAGGAAAGACGTGCAAAGGGTGGATCATATATCTAGTCATGGGAATGAGTCACTTAATCCTGGGCTTATGTGCTTATACCCTGTATCTGAGTTTGAGGGTACTATGCATCTGTTCTATAATTGCTTTAGTGCCTAGGTTTTCAACCAGTGTGCCGTAGCACCCTGGGGTGATCTGAATAATAATAATAATAATAATAATAATAATAATAATAATAATAATAATTTTTTATTTATATCCTGCCCTCCCCAGCCAAAGCCGGGCTCAGAGCGGCTAACAACAGTAAAATGATACAACATTCTAAAATCATTTCATTATAAAATCAGTTCAGATCAGATTAATGGCAACCATTGGGCTAGAGTTCTGTGAGGATTGCCAAAGGAGGGAGTCAGGCTGTGCCCTGGCCAAAGGCCTGATGGAACAGCTCTGTCTTGCAGGCCCTGCGGAAAGATGTCAAGTCCCGCAGGGCCCTGGGAGCCAGTGTGGTGTAGTGGTTAAGAGCGGTAGTCTCGTAATCTGGGGAACCGGGTTCGCGTCTCCACTCCTCCACATGCAGCTGCTGGGTGACCTTGGGCCAGTCACACTTCTCTGAAGTCTCTCAGCCCCACACACCTCACAGAGTGTTTGTTGTGGGGGAGGAAGGGAAAGGAGATTGGTAGCCACTTTGAGACTCCTGAAGGGGAGTGAAAGGCGGGATATCAAACCCAAACTCTTCTTCCTCTTCTTCTGGTCTCTTGTGACAGAGCGTTCCATCAGATTGGAGCCACAGCCGAAAAAGCCCTGGCTCAGGGGTGCTGTGAACAGCACTGGCCCCATCCTGTCCTCATTCCTTCCCTCCTCTCAAGTTCTGGGTGTTGTCTAAGTCAGCTTGGTTTCATTTATGATGAGGGGGTGGGAGAAAACTGAAGCCCCAGAGCGCCTTGGAAGCTTAGGGAGCCCCAGGTCCACCTTGAGGCATCTCATTCATGGTATGATGCAACTCAGGAACCTGAGGACCTTCCCCAGATCGGCCCAATTTCCCCTATAATTTGGAGTGCACACAGAGCCGATGCTCACCCCAGCATATTTTGGTGTGAACTACTCTGGGATTTCTCTTTTTTTATGAGAACTGGTATAAAAATAGAAAAGAAGATGATAATAAAATTGCCACTGGGGGTTTATGACTGTTGGGACAGGAAAGAAGATCATAGTCTGATCGCCATGCTTACCTGTCTCCTTGTTCACGACGGCACTGAAATAAGCAAGGAATGCTCTGAGTTCTACTGGGCGGTGAGACATCACCTTGAGCACGTTGGGCAAAAACCCACGCTGTTCGGGAATCGAGGGGGGGGGGAAGCGAGTCAAGACACCTTGAAATTGCCGTTAAGGGAAGAGTCTATACAATGTCATCTATTCTCAGATATGGCACAATTAGCTAAGGGCCATTCGCTAGCAGACTGCAGGCTGATGCCAAGTCTCTTGTTCTGAATCATCCAAGCAGTGGTGAAGAGCCACAGCTGACGTGCTTTGCAGAGAAGATCCTAATTTCTCAGCCTAAACTCTCTACTCAGAAGAATCAGGCAGTGGTAGAGATCCGCTGTCTGAGGCTCTGCAGAGCTGCTACCAGCCAGAATAGACCAGACATGGGGAACATGCTTGATGCTTTACCGTGCTTAATGTGTTTAATTACCATATTTTTCACTCCATAAGACGCACCTGACCACAAGACACACCTAGTTTTTAGAGGAGGAAAACAAGAAAAAAAATAATCTGAACGAAACGGTGGATGTATGATTTTTGTGGTTCATGCTGTGGCCACAGACATGTGATTTGACGGTGAGTTTGGGGTAGCCCAATGCAAAAATCCTGAGGAACCATGTGGATCCGTGCTTTGTAACCACGTTTTTGCGCCATTGCGGCCCCACGAAACAGTGGATGCGTGTGTTTTTTGGTGCAGATTGTAGCCATGGACATGCTATGTGATCTGATGGTGAATTTGGGGTGACACAATGCAAAAATCCTGAGGATCCATGGGCTTTTACCTCCCCCCTCCCAGGCAGCCTCCTTTATCGCAAGCGTCCCTTATCTCCCTCCCGATCGCTTACCGATCAGCTGCTTCCTTTCAACACTCCCTTCCCTCTTGTTTGCCTTGGTGTCTTTTCCTTAGCTGGAGCAGTTTTTTGCTCCTCCTTTTCTTCTAATTTCTCTCCTCATTGCTTTAGTATTCCTGTCTCCTCTCCTTGCAAGTTTGCTGTCTTTACCTCCCCCCTCCCAGGCAGCCTCCTTTATTGCTAGCGTCCCTTATCTCCTTCCCCGATCGCTTGCCGATCGGCGGCTTTGTTTCAACACCCACTTTCCTCCCCCCCAAAAAAGCATGATCTGCTTTTCGACCCTGGGCAATTCAGCTCCAGGGACCATGCATTTGCTCCATAAGACGCACAGACATTTCCCCTTACGTTTTAGGAAGAAAAAAGTGCGCCTTATGGAGCGAAAAATACGGTAACCTTTGACCCTCCAGATGTTGCTGAACTACAAATTTCATAGCCCTAGGAAGCATGGCCAGGGATGCTGTGAGTTGTAGTTCAGTTCAGCAAAACCATGCGGAACAAGGCGAATAAATTGGCTGACCTGGGATTAAGGCAGCTTTTAAATAAAGTCTAGCGCGTAGTCTTTGCCACAATTTTGCAAGCCTCTGACATGCTAAACCTAATGGACTGAACCAGTTGGCCTGCTAGGTGCTCAGCTGTCTTATAAGGTGATTCCAGTATGTCAGTCTTACCTTTGCTTCTTCTCTCTTCATAAGCTCTGCTATATCGTTTGGCAAATCCTCCTCCTTAGGTAGCGGAAAGCGCTCAGTGGGCTTAGTGGCGTTCCTCTCACCTGTGCTATATGCATGGTTCGAGGCTACAGTTCTGGGTCTTACCCCAAAGCTCCCCAACGCACCAGGAGGCATGAGCTAAAACACGGAAAGGAAGAAATGACCCATTTGCCATAGTATCGTGCAAAGTTGGCTCCGTCAGCTTCAAGCGTTATTTGTAAAACGATTAACTGCACAGTTTAGGGCCTGAAAAAACTCTTCGGCACAGGGATTGGGAACCTATAGCTGTACAGATGTTGCTTGACTTCCGCTCCCATGATCCCTGACCATTGGGCATGCTTGCTGGGACTTATGGAAGCTGGAGTTTGGCCATGTTTGCTGGGACTGATGGAAGCAACATCTGGAGGGCCACAGGTTCCTCATCTCTGCAATAAAGCAATCTGATGAAAAGAGCTTGGAATCATAGAATTCTTGAGCTGGAAGGGACCCTGCAACCTTGGCGTTATCAGCACCATACCCTTATTTAGGTAGAAATATCCTCTATTCTTTTGCAATGAAAGAGACGTTTGTGCAATCCGAGATATGGGGAAATTGTGCTCTTAACGCTTACAGGAGTCAGGTATTTGTGTAACGGCCAGATAGCAACATAGGGAAACACTCTTTCTGCTGTTAAGATTAAAAGTTGATCCCACTGACATCTTGTTCCAAGGCATATTTATGGAGTAGTAAAGGCCTATTTAAATCACGTTCTTTGGATAAACATGGCCAAACAATCGTGCTGCACCAGGCTTGTCTTAAACCAAATAAGTGCCAACTTCTTGGAGAGAATATGGTTTGACTTCTCTCACAGAATGGAAAAGGCCAGTCTCTTGTCAGTTTTGATCCTTGGCATTTTGCCACATCTTGCTTGCATAATTCTACAGCAAGGGCTGGTTGCTCTAGAGTAGACGCATGAGCTCGTGGGGCGGAGGGAATCCCATGTCCCCCTCACCAGCCTTGCAGTCTAGAACACTGGTTCTCAAACGGTGTGGCAGGAAGATTCAAGGACAATCAAAATAAACATTTAAACAGTTCAGTGTAGTATAAAGGTAAAGGGACCCCTGACCATTAGGTCCAGTCGTGGCCGACTCTGGGGTTGCGGCGCTCATCGCGCTTTACTGGCCAAGGGAGCCGGCGTACAGCTTCCGGGTCATGTGGCCAGCATGACTAAGCCGCTTCTGGCAAACCAGAGCAGCGCACAGAAACGCCGTTCACCTTCCCGCCGGAGCGGTACCTATTTATCTACTTGCACTTTGACGTGCTTTCAAACTGCTAGGTTGGCAGGAGCAGGGACCGAGCAATGGGAGCTCACTCCATCGCGGGGATTCAAACCGCCGACCTTCTGATCAGCAAGCCCTAGGCTCTGTGGTTTAACCCACAGCGCCACCCGCATCCCTGTTTTACAATGTATTTCTTAATAATAATAATAATAATAATAATAATAATATCAGTGTGATGCAAGCAATTTTTGTTCTGAAAGTGTGACCCAGAGAAGTTTTTTTAGAACCACTAACTTAAAAAGACCAGTTTTGCTGAGGGAATAAATAATGAGAAGCAGTGGCGTAGTGTGGGGGGTGCAGGGGGGCCGGCCGCACCGGGCGCAACATCTGGGGGTTAGGGTGCGCAAATCCACGGGTTAGGGGGCGCAAATCCACAGGTTAGGGGGCGCAAATTACTTGCCTTGCCGCGGGTGCTGACAACCCACGCTACGCCACTGATGAGAAGGGCACGTAGAGATGCTTGAAGGGTTCCCCACTTTCTTCCTCTTGGATTTACTTTAATGGCTGCGCATGGCATATAGGTGACCAGAGAGAGGTGCGAGGGGAAACACTGCAAGGCAAAACTGAAGAAGTCAAGTGCCTGCGCCAGCCGGAAGTCCCTCGGCTTTGGCTTTTGGCACTCACTCTCCTTAACAGGAGTTTTGCACCTCTCGCCCTTGGAGGAGCGCACCACCTTTTCAGAACCAGCGCTGCAGCCATTTGACCTCCCAGCCCGGCAAGCCGCCAGTCAGCGCAGAGCAGACAATATACTGTCCTAAACTAGGGCGATGAATGGTCTGACTCGATGTCACCTGTCTGGCCAGGGGCTGAACTAGATTCACCTGATCCAGGTGCCCTCGGTCGCGCAAAGACGCACGGAGCCAATGGCTGCGCCAAGGAGACGCGCGCCCCTTTCTGGACCACTGCCATCCTCCGAAGCGCGCATCGACAGCCAGGGCTGAACGCCTTTGGCTATGGAGATACTCACGGAGGGAGAACCCCGACGGCCGAGCTGCAGGAGGCTGCTGCGGAGAAGCCGCCACATTGCCAAACCGCGGCTGTTTTCCTTGCGCTCCTGGGCGGCACCGACGGAGGCGCAGGCGAGGCGGAGAGCCGTTTTCTAGTAACCCAGCCAAGCGCGCTTGCAGGACGGCGTCTCCCCTACCCCGCCCACATTCCGACACTTCCCCAGTTGCAAGGGGAAAAAAAATCTATTTAGACCACAAGGAACAGCAGCCCGTGGAAAAGGAAAGAGTAGCAAGTCCCGCCCTGTTGAAATCCCTTAGTCAACAACAAGTGTTCCACAGCAGGAGTGGGCAGATTTCAAGTTGTAGGCTCTGTTTTCTTCTGGAATCCTGAGATTATCCTAAACTAATGAATTAATATGTTTAATTATATAAGGTGAAGATGTTTAGGTTAAATTTCATAAAAATTGGGATTTGGAAAACCGTTAAAAGGACATGCAATGAAATTCAACCAAGGGGAAGCGAGGAAGCCACTTAACAAAGTTAATAGCTGTAATTTTCAATAAGGCTATGATTTATGTTTTGTTATGTTTGTTTGTCTTGTGTGTTTGTTTATAATATTGTGAAAATCAATAAAAAAAATTTGGGGAAAAAAGAGATTCCCCTACCTAAACTGGGCCTGGTGTAAAATCCACGTACAGTACTTACTTCCTAACTATATCTATGTAGAGGCAATTGAATTCAGTGGAATTCATTCTCAGGTGATTGGTTAGGGTTAGGACTGCAGCCCTAGAATTAAAGGATTCTGAATCCAGGAATCAGTTACAGATAGGTAGTCGTGTTGGTCTGCCATAGTCAAAACAAAAAAAATTCCTTCCAGTAGCACCTTAAAGACCAACTAAGTTAGTTCTTGGTATGAGCTTTCGTGTGCATGCACACTTCTTCAGATACACTGAAACAGAAGTTGCCAGATCCTTCTATATAGTGAGAAGGTGAGGAGGGGTATTACTCAGAAGGGTGGTGGGAATGGGTGATTGGCAGATAGCTGTGATGAGCCTGTTGACTCTTAACGACTGCAATAGGTCTTACAGGAAAAAGCAAGGGGTGAGAAGGTGAAAAATGGCTTTGTCATGTATAATGAGATAAGAATCCAATGTCTTTGTTCAGACCAGGTCTCTCCATGGTTTTAAGTTTGGTAATGAGTTGCATTCCCACCACCCTTCTGAGTAATACCCCTCCCCACCTTCTCACTATATAGAAGGATCTGGCAACTTCTGTTTCAGTGTATCTGAAGAAGTGTGCATGCACACGAAAACTCATACCAAGAACTAACTTAGTTGGTCTTTAAGGTGCTACTGGAAGGAATTTTTTTTGAATCCAGGAAGTTGAGTTGACAGAAGTGAGAGGAGCTCACAGTCCTTCCACACACAAAAAGCCATTATTGGTTGCCCAAGCTTTTTTTGATTTTAAAAATATAATTTGGGGTGGGAAGGCAGTTGTGCTGTTGCTGCTATTGTTAAAGAAAAGGGAGTCAGAAATGTTTTCCAACCTACTGCAAATCACCCAGAGATCAGGAGATCCAGAGATTTCCTGCCTGCCCCCAAATCTAGTGATTGGCAGTTGTTCTCTGCAGTTTTAAGATAGGCTTTCCCTGCCCTTCCTGGGAGTCAGGGATTGGACCTGGGCCCTTTTGTATCCGAAACAAATACTCTATCACATGGGTAGGCAAACTAAGGTCCGGGGGCCGGATCCGGCCCAATAGCCTTTTAAATCCAGTCTGCGGATTTAACAATCAGCTTGTTTTTACATGAGTAGAATGTGTCCTTTTATTTAAAATGCATCTCTGGGTTATTTGTGGGGCATAGGAATTTGTTCATTATTTTTTTTCCAAAATAGAGCCCCCCCCCCGCAAGGTCTGAGGGACAGTGGACCAGCCAAAAGTTTACTGACCCCTGCTCTACCACAAAACTACAGCCCTTCCATAAATCAGAAAAAACACTACCCATGTGTTGTCAGTTGAATGCAGATACAGTGGTACCTCAGGTTACATACGCTTCAGGTTACAGAATCTGCTAACCCAGAAATAGTGTTTCAGGTTAAGAACTTTGCTTCAGGATGAGAACAGAAATCGTGCTCCGGCGGCACGGCGGTAGCAGGAGGCCCCATTAGCTAAAGTGGTGCTTCAGGTTAAGAACAGTTTCAGGTTAAGAACGGACCTCCGGAATGAATTAAGTACTTAACCTGAGGTACCACTGTATATTTTATTCATGGCATGACTGGTTGTACAAGTGTTGTCAAATTATAAGGGAAGGTCTGATCCTTAGGGTGTCTATCAGGAAAGGCCGATGACATTAGATGTCATTGCAGTAATTTCATAGTGCGGTACATCTCATTCTTAGACAATGAATGTCTTCTTATGCCCATCTCTCAAGGTCAGTATTTATTAGACTTTCTACCTCCAAGGCATCCTTTTCACTGAGAAAAAGCCCACTTTGACCTGGGTTGTGAACTGCAACAGATCCCATACGAGGGCATCTAATAGTTTCTTACAGAGCCTCTCATCTATGCAGGGGACAGAATTAGGTGAGGTTCAACTCCATTTTAGTTTTGACGTTTGATGAAAAATGCAACAAGATGTGAGGCTGTGAATCAAACAGAATGCATTTTGGACCCAGTAAGGTAAAGGTAAAGGTACCCCTGCCCGTACGGGCTAGTCTTGACAGACTCTAGGGTTGTGCGCCCATCTCACTTAAGAGGCCGGGGGCCAGCGCTGTCCGGAGACACTTCCGGATCACGTGGCCAGCGTGACATCGCTGTTCTGGCGAGCCAGAGCAGCACACGGAAATGCCGTTTACCTTCCCGCTAGTAAGCGGTCCCTATTTATCTACTTGCACCTGGGGGTGCTTTCGAACTGCTAGGTTGGCAGGCGCTGGGACCGAGCAGCGGGAGCGCACCCCGCCGCGGGGATTCGAACCGCCGACCTTTCGATCGGCAAGCCCTAGGCGCTGAGGCTTTAACCCACAGCGCCACCCGGGTCCCTTCTTTGGACCCAGTACCTGCCTGCAAATCTAGACAGCATCTTAAAAAGCAGAGACATCACCTTGCCAACAAAGGTCTGTATAGTTAAAACTATGGTTTTCCCAGTAGTGATGTATGGAAGTGAGAGCTGGACCATAAAGGCGGCTGATTGCCGAAGAATTGATGCTTTTGAATTCTGGTGCTAGAGGAGACTCTTGAGAGTCCCATGGGCTGCAAGAAGATCAAACCTCTCCATTCTTCAGGAAATCAGCCCTGGAAGGACAGATCCTGAAGCTGAGGCTCCAAGACTTTGGCCACCTCATGAGAAGAGAAGACTCCCTGGAAAAGACCCTGATGCTGCGAAAGATGGAGGGCACAAGGAGAAGGGGACGACAGAGGAAAGATGGTTGGACAGTGTTCTTGAAGCTACCAGCCTGAGTTTGACCAAACTGCGGGAGGCAGTGGAAGACAGGAGTGCCTGGCATGCTCTGGTCCATGGGGTCATGAAGAGGCGGACACGACTAAACGACTAAACAACAACAACCTGCCTGCAGGTAGTTCTGAGATCTCTTGTACAATGGACAAAGGCCTCAGGCAAGTTAGTGTTAAAGCAGATATGGAATCCAAACTTTAAAGTACATTCTTTCCAGGAAAGACGTTTATACAATTTTTACAACTAAGGTCAAAACTGCAACCAATGAGTGAGACAAGGAGCATGTTCCTTCATGGAAAATAGTTGCTTATTCCCCTTGTAAGAATGAAGGAAACAGTAAGACATCAAGTTTGCTTAACAGAGCTGTGGGATGTTGACTTTAGAAAACTTTCTCCATTTGTATAAGTTGGGAAAATGCAGATGGAATTGTTCCTGGGAAGACCTTCCAAGGAGACCAACGAGATTTTACACTTGTAGAGGAAAGGAGATCTTCCTCCAGATTTTCTCCAGTGTATACATAAAAAGCTCTTTCCAATTTCTGGCCGTTAAAAGATTTGCTACAGCAGATATGTATTTGCTCAAATACGTTTATTAGAAACAACCCATATGACAAAAGTGTTAACTCTGCAGTTATGAAGAAATCACAGTATACAGCTTATTACAATCAAAAGGAAACTGAGCAGCAAATCTCCAATCTTGCCGTGTCTTCAGAGCACCTCATTTCAATCAAGACCCTACCGGAAAACGTTTTTCAAAAGTGTAGCACAACAGCAAGTGAAGCACATTTCATTTTTCAGTGGATGCAACATTTGCCCATCTTGACCTTCTGCCTGTCACTGAGCCCAATGTCCTTGCAATGATTTGGGGGCCAGAAAGCCTTGTTAGGAGGCGTCGCTCTTCTCCTTCTCTCTCGGTATCCTTCCCATGATGTAGAATTCTGGGTTTGGATGCATATCTGTGAAGTGAGCTATGCGGTTCGACATGGCAAAAAAGGCTGCAATCGTGCCGATGTCCCAGGAATCTTCTCGGTTAAACCCGTTCGCCTCCAGCTTCTGAAAGTGCTCTTCGGTGATATTATCCGCTCGGCAGACGGCGAGTGCAAATTCAACCATGGCCCTCTCCCGATCACTCAGCTCGGCCATTTGCCAGTTCACAGTGACCTGCACAAAATCAGAGCCAAGGGAGGTTATTGGCAGTTATGGCCAACCGCTAGACCAGTTAAGGTAAAGGTAAAGGGACCCCTGACCGTTAGGCCCAGTTGTGGCCGACTCTGGGGTTGCGGCGCTCATCTCGCTGTATTGGGCGAGGGAGCCGGCGTACAGCTTCCGGGTCATGTGGCCAGCATGACTAAGCCGCTTCTGGCGAACCAGAGCAGCGCACGGAAACGCCGTTTATCTTCCCGCCGGAGCGGTACCTATTTATCTACTTGCACTTTGACATGCTTTCGAACTGCTAGGTTGGCAGAAGCAAGGACCAAGCAACGGGAGCTCACCCTGTTGCGGGGTTTCGAACTGCCAACCTTGCGATCGGCAAGTCCTAGGCTCTGTGGTTTAACCCACAGTGCCACCTGCGTCCCTTACTACAGTGTTCCCCAACCTTGGGCCTCCAGCTGTTTTTGGACTACAACTCCCATCATCCGTCGCTAGCAAGACCAGTGGTCAAGGATGATGGGAATTGTAGTCCAAAAACAGCTGGAGGCCCAAGGTTGGGGAACACTGCCTTACTAGACCAGTTATGGGGACCAAATTTACAGGCAGCATTAGGTAGAAGAGAATGAGGGCTGAAAAGGATTAGGGAGCAACCGTGAACATGAACCACAGTGCATTGCTGCCAGATCCTGAATAGGTTGATGTAAAGGACTAAATGGTTCTTCTACCTTTGCTCCTTGTACAAGAGAGGGAATTATGCTGAGTGCAACTTCTTATTTATTAATAATTATTTTTATTTATTGGACTTATAGACAGTACAGTGGTACCTCTGGTTACGTACTTAATTCG